CACGTATTACAGCGCACTATCAATTTCGTTGCTCCAGTTTGTGCTACCAAGGTTGTATTCAGGTTCTCACGTAGAATTACAATTGTCGAAAATTGTTTAGATCGTAGCGATAAAAGTCCTTCTATAGTATTGTCTGATCTGCCATCCGCCATAGTAAAGTTTCGTTTCCCAAGCACTTTTCAAGTCATTTTGTTACCTCACGAATGCTACACTTACCAAAGTTCATCTTTCTAATCAGATCTACGCCAAATCTTCGATTGCGTCTTATAAGTTAATAGCAAGACGAATATTACGGAGAAACTCCGCACTTCCAATCGAGCCCCGAAGGTAAACTTTGTAGAATCTACCAATACAGGATGAATCCTGACTTAATGCGCAACAACGTAGCTAATACTACGTTGAAATCGGGTTTCGATAAGTTTCAAAATGTAATTTCGCACGTTTATTCGTTGGATATATTTACGAGCAATTGCATATTAAGTAAGTTTTCCCAAATTGAAAGCTTTATAACCGAATAGAACGGCGAACGTCAAATAAATATATAAATCGCATATTCCGCAGCGAAAGAAAACGGAAGCGGCAAATTTCCGGAATGAGATTCCGCAAGCACTAACAACGCCATATTCAAGTAAGTGAAAACATTGGAGTGAATTAAAAAAACATAAAGAACCTCGTCGGTAATAACGGCATAGCGACGGCAAGGATACTTGCGTACAATTAGAAGAGCCTAAGGATAATTCAACATTAGTTTATGCGCGACAAATTTAATATAAGTATAAAAGTTTGTGACCGGAAAAGAAATCAACTCGACTTCCTTAAAGCTCCCGCTCTTGCAGCTCCATTACTTTTAGAAACCGGGGAAATTTACTCGCCCATTTAAAAGACTTAACTGTTCTTTAATGATAAAACATTTCGTCAAAACAGAAGCTATAACGGCGACTAAATTAATTTTCCGGCGTGTATACGCAAGTTTAATTCCCCATTAATGTGAGGCTTTAATCCTATAAAAGTTTAAAACACGAGACATCCGCATGATGCGCTGATATCAGTCGGTCTTCCGTCAAAGGATCCGCCGTTCACAAAAGTTCTTTGAGCGTGGATTAGTGCATTGTTTTTGTGCTAATTAAATTGCAATATTAGCATATTTATTGCTTCTTCTTCTTCTTCCTCCCTTAAAGTTTGTTTTCTCTTATCTACCGACGAAAGTAGGAAACGCTTTCAATCTTAATACTGTCACCATTATCCTGTCCTTCTAGGATTTTTATAATATTGAGAGAATCTTGGATTAATTATTGAGGGAGAAATATCAACGAATTATAATGACATGTTTTCGTGACTTCCTCGTTCGGTTAGTGATCAGCCGACATCCTTCGTAATTCGTGTTCATCAGCTGATATATAATATCTCTGATTTCTCCTGGTGGAGTAAATTAAAATCTTTTATGATGAATATAGCAAACCATAACAAGGGGGTTCCGTAGGCTTTCATTGATTAAAAAAATTCACTTGTGGCAGTGTGTTAAGAGTAGTATAAGAAAGAAAAATGCTTCCAGACCGGACGTTGTGGATGCTTTCCACCATTTGGAAGAATGACGGTTGTTCTGATTAATGAATAGATAATTTCCGATTTATCATGAAATTCTATTCTTAATTGTCGGTGTTAATTTATTTATCTGCGAGGCGCAACCTTGTTTTACTTCCTAGCACTCCCTTACAATTTCACCACTGATATTTTTGGAAACCGGGTTATAGCTTCAATTGTTGGTTTAAAGCCGCGGTGAAAGTACATGATTGATCCCCTTGCTTGAGCAATTCTACCCCGCTACGAGCAATTGTGTGTAACATTCAGGCAGCCAGAAATCTACTCTTCTGTTTTCCTAGCATAGGCTTAAATGACATTTTCCCTCACTTCACCTCACATCTACACAACCTTGCGTCCTTTGACCTAGCATAATCTCATAAACCTAGCATAATCTCATAAAAACGTTTGTATGTGCAATTTTCATTAACTACAGTGTGGAGAGTAAAATTAACGCCTTTTTCATATTATATTAAAAAAGAAATGTAATACTAATTAGGTGAGAGATTAAACAAATACATTTTTCCGCAATGCTTCTGTTGTAAATCAAGTGATGCCTAATCACAGTATCAAGCCTGTTTCCTAATCTGCGAGAATATTTTCATGTAAAAAACAATCCTGCTTGCTTACAATCTAAACACAGGAGTTAAGCGTTTCAAGAAACTACGTCCAAAGAGCTCTTGATTTACCATACATTTGACCTGGAGATGTTTCCCAACGGGAAAGTTTCCATCAGTTAATTGTCCGCATCATTGTCATCATAAGGTGGCCTTATCGAGCTTATTTTTGTATCAACACCGTTATCACAAGAACATTTAGTTTACGATGTATTATAGTGATATTTATTTATTTATATTAAATAAACGTTCGAACATCTTCAAGAAACATTGTTTTTAAAAATATCAACATTTGAAGGAGTTTTGCATTGCATGTATTTTCCCACTGATGAACCCAATAGAATTGGAAGTAAGCGTAAAAGTCATGTTAGGTACTACCCCTTGGTCAGTTAATTATTTGCGTACCAAATCTTAAAGTTCTCTTAGAAAGTTAACATTTTATTTCAAAGATATAAACGATTAGTCACGCTTAGGTAAATGAAGTTAGTGGTATTCAACCCTCCCTAAGTTGCCATTTATTATCCATCATGCCGTCGTGGACAAAAGCACACCCCGTGTTTGTTTTGCGCATGCGCAATGTCAAAAATTTGGTTTAAGGCGTGTGCAATGATAACTTTTTTTATTTATGAAGATATTTAAATGAAACTTTGTAATTGTATGTAAACACTACGAATATAAGTAAAATTTTCCAAAATATTGTTTTGCGCATGCGCAATTCCAACGTTCTTATTTATGAAAGCATTTAAATGAAATTTTATACATAGGCATTTGGAAGAATGGGGTAAGGGTCTCCTGCCTACCGGTACTTTTTTCCGGTGGTAGCATTAATATTATTAGGAGGAAACTGTACGCTCTCGTCATTTATGTTTGCATAATGACTTTTTAACTTGTTTCTACTTAGGGACGGTTGTACCAAGGCAGCTTAAAGGTCGCTTGTAATTAACTAGTGGGTTAAGATCTAAGATTCGTTGAAATTTGACGTTTTGTCAAATTTTAACTAATCATATGTCTTAATCAATTGCGTTAATCTAAACGTGCTAGAATAGGCAACCTCAAGGGCAACCTTCTGCAATTTATGTTTGTTTTAATATACTATTCTAGCATTTCATGACATTCTAGTCATTTTTGTTGCCCGGTCACACATTGTAGTTGGTTTTCTAGTTTTGGAAAAATTATTTCAATTTTGGTATTTTTGTGTTAAAAATCAACCAGAAACCAATTTCCGTCGAAGACACGCACTTGTAATATGAGTGAGTGAGAAGCTATAACCTCGAGCTTTTTCTAAAATCTTAGATGGCCGGTAGCAAAGCAACAAATTAAGCACCATATTTGGTTACAGTGTCCTCTGTTTTTATAACGCGCTCTGCTAACAAACTTAAGTTGCAGTGCATCATTTTCTTGAGGGAACGTGGCACAAATTAGCAACAAATAATAATTAGATTCCCCTACATTTTTCCCCAAAAAACAGTGCCAGTTTGATAATGTTTGCGTCCTCTGTTTTTATAACGCGCTCTGCTAACAAACTTAAGTTGCAGTGCATCATTTTCTTGAGGGAACGTGGCACAAATTAGCAACAAATAATAATTAGATTCCCCTACATTTTTCCCCAAAAAACAGTGCCAGTTTGATAATGTTTGCGAACAAACCCCTTTTAAATTGGTATAGGATGACATCTTAGAAGTGAAACTTGACCTTTCCACATTGAGAAAGGTTTTGTTAAAATATTTGGTGAATCAAAATGGCATAAAGAGTGATTGTGGACCAAAGTCGAGCAGGTTTTTCGTGCTTTCGCAATGTAATTCATCGTTGTTGTAGTAAACGGATACCTCGTATTTTCATGTTTCACTTGTTTGTGTGTTCATTTCTTGTGCCCCTACTTTATAACACTCGTTCGTATAAAAGGCATTAAAAAGAATTTTGCAATCATGCAAAACTAGTAAACAATTTGCACAAATAAACACCCTCAAAGTATTGTGGAAGAAACTCAACAGTTAACGAGTAGTTAAGCTTAGTTTTATAGAGTTTTCCCATGGCGGTTTTCATTATTTCAATACGTGACTCAACCCCCAACTGGCAATTACAGCTAAATGACTTACCTCCATATATCGTGATGAAATGATATATGTTAATGTCTACAATTAGTAGAAAAACGCCAAGATTAGATATAATTGATTAATTCTGAAGCACATTGTTATCTACATTACAATTAAGGGCTTTCAAATGAAAACAAAATTTATGACGACCAAAAATGTTGTTTACTCTAAAGCACCATCGCATATTTTTCTACGGAAACGAACATTTCAGCTTTATGCGGGTGGGCTTTTTTACTGCTCAATTTTATCTGACCATTGCCGTATTTATGCACGTTGCGAATTTTTCAATTACTCAACCCAACAAACGCACGTATAGTATCATTGTTGTTCCAGCGCGTATACGATAACAAAGGAACTTTATGGTAGTTTCGATAATGTGAACGTTTCCTTGATGTTTGTGTTTTTGCTAACGGGCAGTGATTTTGAGGTTTCATTTGACAAGGGCTGAGTCATGGCAGTCATGAGATCACAGCGTGATTACTGACCGCTGAAAGGGTTGCCCGTGTATGCTTTTCTGTGTTTACACGGGGTGAGAGCCTCTAAATGGCAGAAATGATCAATAATAGACGATCTAATGTTACATATAAATCCAGAGGATTAGGACAATGACACGTATTCTACGAGTATTTTAGTCCTAATTATTTTTTCGCAGCTTGCAACTGCCGCAAGCGTAAGTACAATATTTATTGCAACTTTTACTCTCTTGTTATAGATGGGTTGGTGATGGACAAGGGCAGCGGGACGTTAGGAAGACGTAGTTTAAAAGGGGCCTTAGGGAATACTGGAATGCGAAGGCAGCGTAGTTTAGAATGGAGAAACGAAAGAGGTTATAGCTCCAGCGAAGAAGAAATACCACCACGTCCCACAGTAGATAGTCATGTATTTGCTTCTTTGCTTGCGCAAGCACAACAGGAATATTCAAGTAAGTCCGTAATTTGAATATTTTAGGGTAAGGTATACAAGTGCCTTTAGCTAATAACGCTTAATTATGTTCACTCCAAATTTTAGGGGCAAATGAATTGTAAAATGCCTAAATGAATGTTAAAATTAGATTCAGAATGCAAATGATTTGGAAATGAAGGCCATTATATCGTGCGAGTGAACACTTGATGAAAAATTACTGACAACTGAAAGTCTCTTTGGGAATAATACGCGTAATCCTCAAACTTTCAGATACATTTTCGTCCATTACAGTGAACACAACACTCCAATAAAATTTACATTTGTAATTGTAAATGTGGAACTTGTTTTTAATTTTGAGTGAGGTAAATTTAATATTGAATAATGAAGTTCCATTTAACATGCGGTTTTGGAAGCTATTTAATTTATTCGCTCCACTAAAATGTCGTGTAGATTTAAAAAAAATCAGTTGTATTGGTACGCCATTCTAATTTGTTACTGATTATTTATACAATATGGTAATATATATAATTGTGTTTATGCTCACATGAACAAGCGACGGTTCGATGGGTAGTGCATATTTAATTATCTGGACAATTACTACTTGTAATTTACTGTTGATTTAATTAAAATATTCACTGACGTTCAAAACGGGTATCATTTCTGCAAAATTTTGATGGGAATCTGTTCAAGTATAGAACGATTTTTTTTTTTTTTTATGTACGTCTCCATTTTTGATATTTTACTCTATAGAACGATTGTCTGCATACCACTCAAAATTACGACGCCAGACAGTGTGCTTTTCTCAGCTGCACCGGAGTTATAACTTCCGCTTTACTTAAGAAATTAAACCAACTAAAGGTATGATATGGTTAAACACGCACACAATATTGAATTATTAATTACATTAAAATTTAAAATAAATTATTCACGGTGGTTCCATTAAAACGCCAACTACCCGAATTACCTACCCGCAATAATTGTGCTTCTGTCATTTACGGTGAATGTCAAAGGGGAGGGATTATTGATATATGTAGTTTGATGCAGTATTTTGTTTTCGGTGTCATTCATGCGATGAGAAGATTCCCCGAAGAAATTTCCACCCCAATCGTTCTGACACATTCAACTAATTTCTTGGCTTACTAGATCTAGATTTAATCTGATCTTCAATTTTCTTAAAGAAAAATATTTCCAGTGGTAAATTGAAGTTGCCAAGGTCAATTATACTGCACGTGTGAAATTAATTTGTGGAATAAGTTTACATATGCAGAGTTTTATGACGTTAATGATACCTTTTCTAATGAAACGCTCTGTATATTTTTCAACTTTTGACATGCACGCAAGTGTTCTGCAAAGATAAGGGGACAACTTTTTAAAGAAAAGTTTACTGTGCGTGAACTCTAGCGGTAGAATAAAAAATTAGGGATAAAGTCGATAACATTGATACGACTTACTATTTCGTCCACCAAACAACTGTGCGTATATGGACTGTATGATAGGTTCTAGTTTACTAGTGAAAAGTTTTTCATATTTTCGGAACTGAGAATTTTGATTTCAATTTCTGAGAAGCTGGCACAAGTTAATTAGACAATTATTTAGAGCAATTATGAAAGCAACTGCATATGGAATAATTTTATTTAGCGAACAATCTATTCAAATTAAAGAAATGTAAGTCAACTTCCCGATAACCGGAATTTGGGTACAATTTAGATAAGAGTCTAAGTTGCGCGTAAATAAGGTAATCATTTTGTTGTGAGATACGCTGTACCTATATTTAGTAATTTTGCAGAGAAGTGAATCGAGGAACAGTTCAATTACGGGAACGGGATAAATATTACTTTAATTTCATAGATACGAAACGATCCAGGCTTGAAACTCTCGCTATTAAATCAAATACCTACCAGCATTAAACATACTAACTGGCAAGTCCACGTTTTACTCTCAAGCACAAACCTTGCAATATTTTCATTGTAGGTTAATAATGACTTGGGTATTGAATAATATTATTTTAACCATCCAACTGGAAAGTACCTACCGATTGGGTTGATACACTGAGTAAGGGTAGCTCTTACTCGGCTTTAATCTCGGATTTGTTTCTATGGTTACGTGATTCACCTGAAGTAGTTATTACCTTTGTGCATCCTCGGCCCCACTTCTAGCTAAATCGAAACCCAAGGTAAATAATGAAATTTGTAAGGAGTAGATTAATGCCTGAACAGTTTTGTAGGATGATATTGATCAGAAATTATGACATGTTTTTTTACTTATTTAGAATCTGTCACTAACGCTCGATTTCAAAAGCAATGACTAATAACGATAATGATATGAAGAGATCGTTAATCGTTAATAATAAAAAAAGGACGGATTTTTACCATTCTAATATTTTTAATCATGTGAATCATCGTTTTGAAACCGAGTAATAGGCTTCTTATGCGGTTATTTGATCTGTCAACCTAAAGGGAAAATTTACAGGGTAGTCTAAAATAAGAGGGATGTGTGCTTGAGATTTTTGGTGAGATCTGCATTTCTGACATTACTCAAATAAACTCTTTTTATGATATTTACTCTGAATTAAAAAGAAAACGTTTGAATTTTCCAAATTTTGTACAATTAGTTTAAAAGGAAATAAACTTCTCTACTGTGTCTACGTTGTCGAAGAGTAATACAGCTTTAAGTGCAAAAGTAACATTTTTATAATGGATTCTGTGTAATTCCATGTATGTATAGGTATAAAATTGTATACATCATGTCCATTCATCTTGTACATTCGATTTATGTGTAACGCATACACATAACCATTTCTTTATTGTGATATGTATACCCTACATCTAAATGTATTCATGGTAAGACGATCGTGGATCAAGGGTGTAGACATGGTTTACGCACCATACGGATTTTAGCAAAAATCTGCACTCTTGCCGTGAAACTATTGAAACAAATATTCGATTTTTACGCAAATACTAAATTCTAATTTATTTATTTTTTACGGTTTCCCGGATTGACATGAGGTAACGCAGAATTTTTGAAGCTACAAGAAACCTATATATATATTTACAACGTTACTCTAAATTAATTAAGGGAGAAAATATTTCGATATAAAGAAATTAGCATTGAAATCCCTGTGGTGCGTAAACCGTTTCTACACCCTGTATATGGAAAATATTCTTTTAGTATACATATGTGCTAGGTGCTAGGATCAAACACCGATTTCGCCCAATGACCGAAATGCGTTCCACACACCACACACCTGTTTCACACGCACAAAATGATAAAAAATTAAAAATCACGTCACGTATCATATTGACATGACTAAATTACAAAGAGTGAAGGTACTTGTAAAAATCACATGTGAATTTAAAACGCGAAAATTACATCATAAGGTACAAGAGACAAGAGACTCCTTGTAACTGAAGAGGCCTCCCGAGCAGCTGACGCCAAAAATGTGGTTTGTCCGGTGTGTGGAATATTTTCAATCCGGATATCTTTATTTACACATAAGATTAGTTATATTAGTTATAGTTATATTCCCTTATATCTCAAGAATGGATTGTCCGAAGAGGGTACTCACAAAGGGCGATTGAGACGTCTGCAAGAAATATATCAATTGGTGATGTCAAAACAAAAGCTATTTCGGTTGAAAAAAATGTGCTTCATCTGCACATGAGTTGTGGACAATTTATACTTCTTTCTAAAAGATTTGCATTGGGGGCAAACTGTGCGTATGGTAGAAGTTTAATGGAAATGAGCTTAAAAATAAAACGTTGGCCAATCTTTCAGTAATTTAGTTTCAGGACTGGATAGAAACTGTTAATGATTGAATTTCACCAAAGAGTAAGTAGTTTTATGTAAGTGGTGTACAATGTACATATAGTTAAATAGTTAGATAGATATCGGCAAAGATGAGACGAGTAAATTGCTTTTACTTACATAAGACTGGAGGCAAGTGAAATTGTTCCAACAGAGCAAATTGATAGTAATAAGGATTTTCTACTCATTTTATACATTTTTCAGCAAAACCTTCAAAAAACAAGAAAGGTGTTTTCTACTGTAGTAGTGAAAGGAAGTAAAATATTAGGTTAATGGATTTCTCTTCAACGAAACCCTAACGTTATTCGTGCTTCTACATTTTGTTGGAAGCTAATCAAGAATCTAGCAACAAGTGGTATCATTAGACAACAACTGAACTAAATTGCAGACCCAGACGTCATACATTGAATGGACGGTGAATTTGATTTCCTATTTGCATTCGTAGCTGAGCATACCGCTTGCGCTTTGAATGCCAATTATCAGTTGGGTTGTAATAATTGCATGGTAAATTGCCTCCACGTGTGAGCCTCGATACGAGCTTAACAAGGGCTGTCACTTTGTAGTAATGGGATTCCGCCGTTCTCGTTATACAACCGTAAATACGTAGTAGAAGGGGTATTTTTCACGTTGCCTGCCCTTTAAGTTAATCATTTTTTTTGTCTAAGTAAATTACGTATTGAATCAAATCGACTAAACTTCTCGCTTTGCTAAACTTCCTTCGATGTAAATCAGATTACATTTCGTGGAGTTAAAACAAATATATCCAAAGCACTCAACTTGAAACAGTAATGGGTTCTACTGCCATATAATCAAAGCGCAATTAAAACCGTAATTATTGTTTATAGGCTTAATAGAATGCCATTAGATAAAGCTATATAGATAATTAAAGTAAGAATTCGAATCGGGAGCTAAAACTTAAACTCACATTAAGAGGGTGAGTGATTGAAAAGGGGGTTGACCTAAAAGGAATGAAATTGAGGCATGGACAAAGTTATTGGTTTTATTACTGTGGAAGAGTTGTCTATCAATCACAAAATGCCGCGAAAGGGCTTTAACAAGTTTTTTTTTCAATGGCGGCCATTAATGCAATAAAGTACGATTAGTGTCATTGTTTTCCGGGTTTTCGATATAAATAAGTGAAACATCATCAGAAATAAATCGATAGGTTGTAATTCCCGAGAAACAAAACAACTGTAATAACATCCAACACAGGAT